GCACTTTATGGCACTATGGAAGCTAGCCAGCAGGGAGGCCTGGACAGTTTGAGATTGGTTTCTCTTGGCCTTTAACCAGTGTGTGATGCTTTTAGCACTGGGATCTTACCATACAGCTGTGGTGGGTTACCAAAGGGCAAAGGCAATATCCTGTATTATTCTGGGGACTTGTGAAGTCTCTCTGACCAGTAACTATGGATAGAGACCAGGCATTGCACTGTGATACACATTTAATAATCCAAGTCTGAGAACGGGATTGTCCACTCTACTTAAAATTTGTTTTGTTTTGTTGAGACAGGGTCTCTATGTAGTCCTGGCTGTTCTGGAGCTCGTTATGTAGACCAGGATGTAGACCAACAGAGATCCTCCTGCCTCTACTTCCCAAGTGCCTGGCTTTGTTTACTAACTAGTGGGTTCCATAAGACTTTTCCATATGTCCTTAGTCTCATTTAACTCACCCATGACTTCTCCCCATCACCCCACCTCCACCCCTACTCAATCCTTTAAACTCACCCATGACTTCTCCCCACCACCCCACCTCCACCCCTACTCAATCCTTTAACCCCCGTGTTCACTTCGCTGTCACCTCACACTGTAGTCCATTAGGCCTCTAATTGTGTTTTTAGTTGGGTGTGAGACAGTGGGTTCCTTCCACATGGCGTTCATACGCCCTTCCTTTGGGTGAGTGCCCCCTTCTCTTCTGTATGCCTGCTCTCCTACCTGTTTTCCCCACCCCAGTATTCCACCTCTCTCTTTTCAATAATCTACTCTCTCCCCCACTTAGTGTGCCCCCTCATGCTCATTTCTAATTCTCCAGCTTCCACTTGTGCTCCAAATCAAACACACAACATGATAATACTTAAAAACATTTTACACGGTAAACTTTTTTTTTCTTACCAGATAAAATTAGACAATAAAATGAAGTGGTTATTGGTGTCTTGTGAGAAACCAAGCACAGAAATCCCTGCTCAGCCCACAATGAGCTGCCAGAAGCGCTAGGAATTTTATTTTAGTACGCTAGTTATCTCACTTAATAGTTGGAAGTTTGTCTTTCATCTTTTCATCTGCTTCTATGACAACCTCATTTTTGCTTAGTGTTCTTATTATATTCCAATATACATTCCAGTGGACTCATGGTCATACATAGTTCACAAATGTTCTCTTTTCTCAATAACTATAGCCTCTACCCTGGTTCTCTTGTTGATTGAATTTAACCAAGTATTTTCAAGAAAGGCCCAAAGTTATGATTCCTAAGTCCTCATGTATTTAAATTTTAACTTTGACTTTTAGGATCCCTCCCCCAAAGACAAAAAGGGTTTTGTTTTTTGTTGTTGTTGTCTGTCTTTACAATGGATTTAATGAAAACTTTGCATTACACTGCATGTCTTAGTTAGGGTTTTATTGCTGTGAAAAGACACCATGACCATGGCAACCTTTATAAAGCAAAACATTTAACTGGGGCTGGCTTACAGTTCAGAGGTTTAGTCTGTTGTCATCAGTGGCAGGAGAAGCGTGGCTGCACACAGACAGACATGGTGCTGAGTAATAGCTGAGAGTTCTACATCTTGATTCACAGGCAACAGGAAGTGAACTGTCTCACTGGGTGTGGCTTGAGCATATATGAGACCTCAAAGCCCGCCTCCATAGTGACACATTTCTTCCAACAAGACCATACATACTCCAACAAACCCATACCTCCTAGTAGTGCCACTCCCAGTGGGCCATGCTTTGGGTATGTTTTTCTCAGACCAGTACCCTCCCCCCTTATCTTAATAGAATTTATCAATCCTTATCAAGTCGTTAGACCCAGGGAGAACACAAGCTCCACAGAGGATCTGTCTTCATCTCCACGCAGAACAGTGTCTGGTAGATGCTCAGCAAGCTGACTTAGTTCATGTGGTGTTTCGGCAATTCAGCTGGAGCTGTGACCTTCTGAACCTCATCCCACACTGTCCTTTCCTAGCTGCTACCAGCCCAGCCCCTTCAGCTCAGCCATGAATGTTCAGGAGAATGCAGCCCTCAGGAAGAAAGAGTCTAAAATGGTGGCTTGGTGCTGCTGAAGACCAGGCATGGATGACTCTGATCTACTCCTTCAAAGAGGTGCCCCTCCCTGAAAGCCAAGGCATGGAAGTGTGTATGGGAGTCTAGGCTACTGCCACCTCTCTGCGCTGTTCTGAATGGGGGGGGGGGATGTGTGTGCCTCTCATGTGGTGGGTGCCAACAAGGGCCAGGAGATAGACCTAGATGCTTTACATTCTATTCCTGAGAGAGATGAAAGTTTCTAGGAATTAAGTCCAGTTTCACATGGCATAGACAAAAATGGAGATCACAAAAACCTGTTACTAGAGATTTGCAGGACAGAAATATATCCCCCAGCACCTTTAACTGTATGGATACACACTCTGAACCACCATTAATTTGCCAACATACAGGAAGCAGCAGAAGTTAATCTTGGAACTGCTCTGACTACACTCCGTTGGAATATGCTAAGGACAAGCAAGGGCAGTTCGTGGAGAGTCAGCAGCCTGTTAGTTCTACAGCATCCACACCCAGGACCGCCTGGGGTGAAACTAATAGCGAGGCTCCATCAAGTAAGAAAAAGACAAAAAATAACTTCAGAGCACAGAAATGTACAAGTGAAGCTGAAGCACACGCAAGGGTGTTCCCTGGAATGAGAACTGGGTCAGTGTCAGGAAGTTAACAGAACTGGCTCGAGAGATGGAGGACAGCAGCTGGAAACCGAGCCCCCCGGACTACAAAGCTAGCCGGGCTCAGCATCCTTCATAGCTGATCTTTTCTGGTATTGAGGTGGCTTTTTTATAAGATACATTTCTTCTATTTCTTTAAAAAAAAAAAAAAAAGTCAGTGGGGAGTTCCTGAAGGGCTGATTCTATCCTGCCATTTCCACAAACTTGCCTTCAAAAAGGGCGAGCTAACTTTTCAGAATACTTTATGAATCTTGTTGGGCTTTGTAACTGGGCAAAGGAAGGATAATAACGCATTAACAGAAATGGTCTTATTCTGACATATGTGGAGATTTTTAAGGGAGTGTGAGGCCCCTTTCGAACCGTTGCCCAGGCAGAGAAAAATACTGAGCCCCCAGTTACTCCAAAATGTGACCCATTAACAGGCTTCTCATCTAACAGGCTCATCTCTTTTTGTTTAATAACCAAAGCATAAATTGCTTCAAATAAACTGCAATACTGACATTTGAGTTTTCTAGGATTCCTCTAGAAGTTTCCCTGGTTTTTCAACAGTTTATTAAACTGACACCCATTTTAAACAGAAACCAGCACCAGTACACAAATGAAACGGCAGCTCCCAGGTAGGGCACTTTTCCAGCATGAACAAATTCCTAGGTCTGTTCCCAACCCAAGTGAGTAAGGGAAAACCCAGAGAACGCCTATTTCAAAGTCCACACTGCCACTGAGCAACAGGCTACATTTTCTTCCACTAGCTAGAAGAAGAGGGGCAACTTCTGGGAAAATAGGAGTGAAGGGTACATCTATAAGGGTGACCATGTATTACTACTGAAAAGCCAAAGTTTAGTTTGTCAAAGAACACTTTATACTGTATGCTATACTCATGGAAACAGGATCTATGCCCTTGATTAAGCAAAGTGAATGCAGAACCAACAGTTTCAAATAACATTACAGGAAAAAAAATAAACAAATGAGGGTAGGAGAGATTGTGTAGTCATCAAATGCAACCACATCCTATCATAAGACTTACCCTTGCAGGGAACACAACACAGGTGGGAAGTACCAGCTCCCAGACTGTCTACTGTAGACATAACTCCTTTGAGGGATCATGGTCACCCCTGCTCCTCATCTGTCCCCCTCTCAGATGAAATGTCAAAATGACCACCCTCAGTAGTTTCCCTTTGCTTGGGCAGCAAAACTGTGGTAGTCACAGGGGCGGAACTCCAGTTCATTCTGAGTCACACGTCCTTGAGTTGTACCTGTTCAAAGAACCACGTCTTTGGGGCCCATAGGGCTGGGTTGTCTAGAAAGGGCTCTTTTCTAATCCAAGGGCTGGCAGTGGTCTTGCTGGGGCATATGATGGGTTGGTGGAACATGTGCTGGGAGAAGAGCTTTCACTACATTTTCCATTCTTCCTTCCTGATGCTGACGCCACACTCATCCAAGTCTCCGAACACATTAGACTTTTACATCGTTTACCCATGGACCTGTTCAGCTTCAGGAAGGCCAGAATATGAGGGCCACAAATTCTTGCAGCTCTTTTGTCTTTTTGCTGCCTTCCTAAGTTTATGTGGTGCCTGTCCCCTTGTGCAAAGGCTGCTGCTGCTGCTTTTTTATGGACCTGGTCTCCCTCATTTCTCATCACACATTTAGTTTCTGAGACAGGGCTCTAACAATCTGGCTGTGTGCTACTATGCTGCTTCCAGCCTCTCCACTGCTAGGGCTGTTACCACACTGTGCTGCCTCTTAGACTTTAATGTGGCATCTATTTAATATTCGTGTTTACGAAGGGCTTAGCAGTGCACCCAAATATAGTCTTTAGGATTTGGGTGAAAAGTTGAATGTATTCAGATATTCAACAAATGTTTATTGGTACCCATAAAGCATTGCAAGCTTATCGAAGATGACATCAAGATGATCTCATATTTTGATTTTTAAAGGCTGAAATATCATTTTTAAGCCTTAAATAAAACGGAAGGAAGTCTGGAGAACATCATGCTTCTAACAATGCTCTGGAAATGCAGTTGGATTTGATATGCAGTCAGGAGTTTCCAACAGACGTTGATTGTACAATAAACTTAACACAGAGAATCTGCCAGTGTGACAGAGCAGCTTTAAATCAGGTTTAGAGCTTGTCATGCCTGAATACACATGCTAATATTTCAGTCAGCCTCTAGTGCAGCTGTTAAAACATGTGGGCTCTGTAGATCAAATGGGACTTCTCAATTTCATGAGTTCTGAGTTCTGATTCTTAGGATTATTTTGCTTTTCTAATTAGAAAGCAGACATCGCTTCTGATAGAGGAACATCAAGATTTATTGATCATCCAAAAATATCTTGCAGAACAATAAATTTTGCATTTCATAATTTAAAAAGTTGATACATAGTTGCCGATTTTGAACACTTTCAAGAGCAGAAGAAAATGTCAAAACTTTGCATATGTAACAGGAAGCTGACTGCTCATTCAGAAAACAGATTTGCAAGTGATGTCTATTTCAACTAAGACAGCAGTTTTCTTGCAACTTTGCTCAGCTAATCAAAAAATTTAATTCTTAAGGATACACATGTTTACTTTCTTCTGAATTTTTAACAAGTATTAAATATTTCAAGGGTTATTCCTCTGTCATTCTTTAATTTCTCCTCCCTACCCACCAGCCATCAGAACTGACTGTCTCCATGGGCTTCAGGACTATGTTTTTCTGCCTTAAGTTTTGTAAATGACTTCTCTTCACACACGGAATCAGGTAATAGATTTCTCTTCTTTGTCTAGTTTGCAAGGCTGGGTTGTATCATTATTACCAGCTTTGCTGACTGACACACAATGTCCCACACATGGTCTAGGAACCAGCCATACCTTGATCTGGCTGGAGCTGTGTTGGGCTGCCTTTCTTCAGGTGTTCACACATCAGTTGACTTGGTATCAATTGACTTATAACCTGGAAAAACCACTTGTTCTTAATCTTTCAGATTCTAACTTGGGCTACATATTTTATGTAACAAATCTGACTTCTTAGGTGAAACTCAGTAAGATTGGTCAGAAAAATGATGCTTGCTGGATGGGATCAGAGCCCAAGCAAATGGGCCACATTGTAACATCAAGGAAGGAAATACATTGCTAAGATTTAAATATTTAATCTACTTGCTTAGGTAAATTTGGAAGCAAATTCGATGTCCAAACCAATTAAATGAAAACATTTACGATTATTAAGTTCAATATTGTGAACTTGAACAAAGAATGTTTCCAGATACATTTGTTAGTTCAGAAACAGAATTTTTTGACTTCAACTTTGCTTTTACAAGATTAATAGTCTTAAATTTAACTACTTAAAATATCATAGCCATGTTTAGAAGGTAAAAACTAAGAGTTTTGTACAGCATTATTAGTAATGCAGCTTCTGAAGTTAAGCATCAGGGGCTAACTTTGCTTTTTTTTGATCTGCATTGTGCATCTTGCTCTTTTAGTATGACAGAGGCACAACCCTCACCACCCTCACAATGCCCGTAAGTCCCACTCATCACCAGTTGGCAAGTTTGTTTTAATAGCCGGAAGGTGAAAAATTCAGTCTAAAGAAGCAGAATTTTGATGAAATATTTGATCACAAAACATGCAGTAGTGAATTTTCAATTCACAAATTATTTCTGTGGTTCGGTGAAGATTACAGCAGCTGGCACAAATCATGGAAACTGGGGTTTCACTTGATTCCAATCACTGCTTACCATTCAGCTGCCGCTGACATGCAAAGGTCGAATAATGGCAAACGGAACACAATATCTACCTCACAAACACATCGGTTCACCCATTATTGGCTGCCTGGATTAGCTTCACCACAAAAGGCACAGCTGGAAGGCTGTCACCTACGCTTCCACACCCCCTCGCTAGCTAACCAGACACGAGTCCCCATTGCTTGGCTTGACTTCTCCTTCCAGCAGCAAGTTCATCACAACCTTCGTGAGATAGCTGCAGGTGCCCCGTGTTCCCAGTGGGGGCGTGTTGTAGAAGGAGGTCATATCATCCTACAAAGGAAGAGAGCAAACAAGTCTTTGGAACTGACAGGTGAAATCAGCAGCTGCCTAAGAGGGAAATAAATTTGCAAAAAGATTTCCTCATGGAAATTATGAGTTTCCCGAACTCCGCTTTCATTTTCCCGAGGCATCTTCTCAGCATATAAAACAAAAGCAGACATTTTTAGCAGCCTTCTCTTTGCCAGTAATTTTTATTTACTTGGGGAACCCTTTCACAGATGAGCATACAATGTTAAACAGAGAGCCAGAAGGGATTGCATTAGACAGTACACAGCCCCAGTGATGGCCGTTCTACACTCCCATCTCCCTCTGAATTTATTTTACAGCCTTCTGCAATCAGTGGATCCTCCCTGGCAAAACACATTTTAATTGTCAGCCATATAAAAAAATTATCTCATCTTGGATTTCTTTTTCTTCTTTTGTCAGAACTTCATCGCTCAATCGACTAGTAATTAGCTAAAAAGAAATATTAATTCCTCAAGTAAGTCTGACTGACTCTCAAGCATTCTAATTTTGTAGTCTGTAAATCTGTTTGGGGCATGAAATGATAAGATCAGAGACCATTTCAACAGCCAAGACAATGAAACCCTCTGCAGAACGCTGTCCTCTCCACTTACTTGTTTTTCTGTTTCTTTTAGCCGACTCTCATCTTTTTGGAACTCATGAAATGCTTCTTTGACCAGTCTGTCTAGATCCACTTTGTCTTGGAATTCTAGTTCAGGGTTTCTTTCCAGCACAATGGACACGACCATTAATAACTAGAAGAGATAGATATGGAAAGCCACTGACATGAACCACGGGTGACACAGTCTGCACAGTGTTTCATCACTGGATCTGATGGGCAGTGCTCTGTATATTAAGAAGCACCGATGGATAGAATGCTAACTGAAAACTGGCAGCACGTGTTCTATTTGGAACATGCATGTTTATCACAGTATCCCTGTAGCCACAGGGAGATCTTTTTAGTCATTGCTAGTTTTTGGAAGATGGCATTTTGGGGATGGAGAGAAAGCTCAGTTGGTCAAGAGCTTGCCTTCATCAACCTATTTGGTTGTTCCATAATTTATCCCCAAAAGTAATAATGCACATTTTAAGAGTTTATTTTTGATCAAGTGTAAGTGTGTGTGTGTGTGTGTGTGTGTGTGTGTGTGTGTGTGTGTATGTGAGTGCAGTGCCCACAGAGACCAGAAGATAAGAGGGCACTGGATCCCCTGGAGCTAGAGTTATAGGCAAATATGAGCTACTTGATGTGGATGCTGGAGGCCAAACTTGAGTCCTCTGGAAAAGCAGCAAGTGTTCTTAACCACTGAGCCATCTTTCCAAGCTCCTATAATGCTCATTATTATTAGTTTTTAATTTTCAGGTTTTTTTGAGAGAGAGTCTCTTTACATAGTTCTGGCTATCCTGGAACTCACTGTGTAGACCAGGCTAGCCTGGAAGTCACAGAGATCCACCTGCCTCTGCCTCCCAAGTGCTAAGATTAAAGGTCTGAGACACCACAACTGGCTTATAATGCCTAGTTTAGACAGCAAAGGTCCATGTACAGACTGTAGCCATGTTTGTGGTAATTGGTAAGGACCTTCTGATGAACCTTAAGCTTTGTACACTAACCAGGAAACAGACTTTTTAGATCTAAATTTAGGAATCTTACGGGTGTATCTTATCTAAATGCTACAAGGCAGAACCTGAAGACACTACAGTAAATTCCAGCGGTTACAATGTGGCAGACCCATGGGTGGGGCAGGCTTTAGACAGAGAATATGGACTTGTGCTGCAGTTCTAAGGGAAATTTCTTCAGCCAGAGGAAAGGTACCAAGGTCATCAGAGCTCAACAAGAAGAAGCTCTAAGTCCACAATCCACCCTGGACACTGGACATGAAAAGCTAAGGACACTGCACAATGAGGGTATCCTCCCAAGCCTGCCTTTCTGGACCCCATCTCTGCATCAGTCCTCCTACCTGCCCTCTGAATGACTGGACAGTCCTATTCCATATCCCCAGCCTTCAGAGAGGAGACTGAATGTCACTCAGGTTTGACAGCAGCTCCAGAAGTAATGGGCTAAGCAGGGACCAAATCTACTTTAATATTTACTGACTGCTTCTATGTCAATGAGACATATGATTTACTTGGAAGAATATAACATGACAGAGACACTGCCCGAGAAAGAGGCAGTGGGAGGATTGGCCATGTAATAAATTCTCCATTCCAGGAACTCATCATACAGTGTTTTATGGCGGAGAGGGCAAGTGAGTGGATGCATGTGCACAGCTGCATGTACTTCAGTACTCTACACAATGTCTTCTCTTCAGAGGCAGATGTTTGGAAAAATGGCCTTCAAAACACTAGCAGCAATGATCTCTTGCTCTCCACAATTCTCTGAATTGTTGCAACATTCTACAATAGTAGTGCATTATTCCTATACGGAGGAAAAACTAAAAACTAAAAACTAAATGGAAAGAAATGATCTCCCCCTCTGCTGTTACGGCACTGCTGATGCACTGGCTGCAGGGGATGAGTGCAGCTGGGTGAGTGGTCAGTTTGGTTTTTCCACCTAAGGCAGTTTAAGGTACTTGAACCATAGGACACAGTACTTGATCCAGGTCAAGGATGTCTGTCTTTTTGATGACTCTTTTGGAGGAGCTGACAGGTGATGGACAGAGTTCTTGGTGTCAGGGGGAGAGAGTAGTTTTCCTATGTTAGTTTTTAGTGAGCAGACAGAAAGCAAGCCTTCAATGATCTACATTTTTTTTTTTTTTTAAAATACAAACCTCTACAATGATCTGTCTGTACTTTGGCTGGTCAATATTTCCCAACATGTCTTCAACAAGGAGAGAAAAATTCATCTCATACATAGTCATATCGGACAAGGTTGGTTGCTGAAAAAGAAAAAAACTTCCACATTAACATGCTGAATGTTATCCTCTGTGTACCATTTAATAGAGAAATTTCATTTTCTAATCAATAATCTTTCCAGTTTCTATAAAACTGGAGAGAGTATTTTCACCCCTGTGACTAAGTTTTATATATGTCAAACTACTGAAGCCAGACAGCCGACTATTGTGATAAATTAAGCCTCCCACTTTTAGTAGTCATCTTCATTATGTTAATAATTTTAGGGGAAAGAACTGTATTAAAAATCCATTCCATAAATAAAAGTAACAGATAAAAACTGAGACTATGAATAGAGTACATATTGCATTCAGAATTAACATGAGACATTATGGGTGTTGGACTTCAGGATGTAAGTCATTGCTATTGAATTTGTATCATTTCTGTTGTTTATTCCAAGCTTCCAGCAGAAAAATGCTACAAATAAGCAAAAAATAGTGTGCAGAAATTGCAGGAAACAGAAAAAGGAGGCAAAACTAAAAGAAAATTTCCCTTTGCCTTTTGTTTAGAACAAATCAACCATCTTTTATTCATGGAGGACACCTAGTCCCACCCACATCAGAGCATGGAGAGCATGGTGGCCAACTGTGACTGTCCACCTGATTGGATTAAGAAGCACACAGAGCATTAATGAGGCACACTTTTGACTGAGTTAGGGAAACCCAGCCTAAATGTAGGCAGCAGGAGCTAGAGTCTGACTAAAAGGGGAAAAGCCTATTATGCACTGGTATTCCCCACTTTCTGCTTCTCAGTCACCACCTTGAACCTAACTGTTCTCACTGTCCCCCTTGCCCTGCCATGGCGGACTGCACTCCTCTGAACCATGAGCTACAATAGACCCATTCTCCCTTTGTTGCTTTGGGCCAGGTACTTGGTGATGAGCAAAGTAAATATAATAGAGAGAGTCCTCAAGGACAGAGAGGAGAGTCCTAATGTTGGACTTGTGAGCCAGAAAGCAGAGAAGGTCAATGGAATTATCCAAGAGATATAGGGAGGACAGGGCCCATTTGCTTTATCTCAGTGGTTTTACAGGGAACTTAGCCATAGTTTAAAAAAAAAAAAAAAAAGGACCCCATTTGTTACCTAGATCAGGACTGAGGAAGTCCTTCTTCTTGACATAGGTAACAGAAAATTGTTCAGTCTGCTGTGATATGCCTCAGTCCTATATTCAGTACAACTATTGTATTCCACAGTCAGCAGACTCCAACGTATTGTTACAAGTACTACCTGACCTGGAAACCTGAAGCTTGGCTGCCTAGACAGGTGGCTACTATGAGTGCTTAGATGTCTAACAATAGGCTTAGTGTGCTCATAGGAGGAAGGAAAGACTCTTTTTTGATTTCATATTAACTTCTTAATATATTTTATTAGAAAGGCAGCCTCTCTCCTAGGCACTGATGATAGTTAATCATAGAGAAGAGACATCAAGCTTGCCTTATTTTCCACTCTTCTGAAAGGACTGAGAGTAGAGCAGAGAGGTAAAGAGAAAAGGCTTAGAAGCCAACCCATCAAGTGTCAGTTACTTACTGAGTGTGGGACCCTGGGGAAAATCATTCCACTGTTTTGGAATTCCTCATCCTGAATTGCACGGGAATAATAAAGTACCTTTCTTGAAGTAGGGGTAAGATCGACAGATAGACTTTGCCTCTATGTGATCTGGTGAAGGGCAGTCACAATCATAACACCCCAGTAAAGAATTACTTTCATGGAAGGAATAGATAAATAAACAAGCACTAAGAAAGAGCTGATCATGTCTAACTCAGTATTACCAAGTAGAAAACACAATTACAAGAATTAGTAAACATCTATAAATAATAACCTTCAATGTAAATAGTCTCAACTTGCCAATAAAGAGACACAAACTGGATAGATGATTGGTTTTAAAATGGATGATTAGACCTAATTATTTGTTGTCCCCAAGAAACACACCTCACTGGTAAAGATACTCACAAACTCAGAGTCAATGAATGGAAGTCAATCTATTAGGTGAGAAGTGGGCTGATGTAACTATTATGATAGCTGATAAATTAGACTCAAATCAAAATCAGAGGAGATAAGGTCATTACAGTAATACTAATATAGAGGACAATACACCACAAAACTGTAACAGTTGTAAATATATATGCACCAAATTCCAATTCCATAAATAAATACAAACAGACACAAAAGGTAACACAAGTCCTAATATAATAGCAGGTAACTTCAGCACTCAGCTCTCATCTTTAGATAAGTAGTGCAAGGGACTTCAGAGTTCATGATAGCTAGTTTTAGTTGTCAGTCTGACATAATCCAGGACCACCTGGGAGTCTCAATGAAGGACTTTCTAGATTAAGTCAGCCTACAGGCATGTCTGTGGGTGATGATCTTGACTAATGGGAAGACTTGTCCACTGTGGGTAACACCATTCCCTGGACTACAGATCCTGGAATGTCTATGAAATGGAAAAGAGAACTGAATACCAGCGTGCACACACTGACTCATCATGCTCTCTGCTCTTGACTATGGACAGAACATGATTATCTGCTTCAAGTCCCTGCTACTTGTCTGCCCACCAACGACGGCCACCATCTGGAACTGTGAGTCAGATACACTCCTCTCCATTAAGTTGCTTTTGTCAGGGTATTTTATCAGAGCAGCAGGAAACAAAACCAAGACAGAATTAAACCATAACAGAGAACAAATACAGCTATGTCAGAACACTCCACCCAACAGAGACAGAATACATAGTTTTCTCAGCAGCTTACGGAACTTTTTTAAAAAAATAGATCATATTCTAGGCCACAAATCAAGTCTTAGCAAATACAAAAGAATAAAAATAATTTCTCATGTCTTATCAGACCAAACTGCAATAAAACTAGAAATCAACAGTGAGAAAAACTATAGAAATTGCATAAACATGTAGAGAATGAACAACATGTGAATAACCAGATGGTCACTGAAGAAATCAAGGAGAAAATTACAAATTTCTAGAATCAAATGAAAAAGAAAGTACAACTTACCAGAACCTTTGAGATATAGCTAAGGCAGTTCTAAAAAAGAAAGGTTATATGATAGCTTACATTAAAGGGGGAGGGGCTGGAGGGATGGCTCAGTGGTTAAGAACATATACTGTTCTTCCAGAGGAACTGAGTTCTACTTCCAGCACCATGTCAGGTGGCTCACAGGCAGCTCCAAGGGCAATCTGACACCTCTGGTCTCTATGGGCACCTGCACTCATGTGCACATACTCACCACACAGGCCTTTAATCCAGATTTTTCAAGCTAGGAAAGACATGCCTTTAATGCCCAGTCTTGAAGTACTTTAAATTTGTCTTCCATCTTTCCCTTATGGTACTATTTCTATAATTCCTAAAAGTGAGTTTCTTTCCTAATACTTCTATTTATTTCAATGCTTTAATTTATATAAGTAGGTATTTTAATTTATGTTTGTTGGGGCTAGGGTTAGTTCTACATGTTCAATGGTTATGGATTCTTCTGGGTGTAGACCAGATGCTTTTGTAAGGGAAGCTACGCTGTGATTATTCCAAGCACACTTTCCAGGATGCTTGCCTTGTTCCAACTTGTCTCCTCTCATAGGCTGGCTGATGAGTGATTATAAATCAGGGAACATATGTCTAATTTGAGGATGGTGATGGGCAGTGTATGCATACTTCATTGCTCTATTCAATTAAGCTCTCTATTCTTAATTTACTACTGAATCCTCCTTAGTCCTTTACATTTCATAAAGGATAATGTGAATGTTTTAATTAAGAAAATGTAGCCTATTATTTCCCATCTCATAGGCTACACCTTGAGCTAATGTTTTTTATGATTGATCTTTTGCTTACTGTTATTCCTTTTTAGGGTTTGATAAAGATGGAGGTATACAGGCTGGGGAAGACCCATGTCTTTAATCTGGGTCTTGAGCAGGAAGACATACCTCTAATATGGCCTACACCTGCTGCTGGAAGCCTATAAGGACATGGAAGGAAGAAGCTTTTGCTCTTTGCCTGCTTGCTTTCACCTTGCTAGCAAACCTATTCCTTCACTGGCATTAGAACCTACTTCTTCAGGATTCCAGCATATACTGAAGACCAGCTGAGACATGCAGCCTTGTAGACTGAACAACTACTGGATTTTTGAACTTTCCATTCACAGTCAGCCATTGTTGGGTTAACTATACTGCTGCCTGTAAGTCATTCTAATAAATCCCCATTA